TGCATCGTCCCAGCGTGTCTCTGACGGTCCAGCGCTCGGCCCGGCTCCACAGCCTGCAGAGACGGACTCCTCTCTGATCCGCTTCATCCTCTATTGTGTGCCTGTCTGCCTCCTGCAGTCGTCTGATAACTGAGTTTTTTGTTGCTTCCTCCTTTTGAGGTTGAGCTCTGAAACAAAACGCTGCAGGTTGGGTTCAGTCCGGCGTGAACGGCCGTAAGGTGTGGATTCTGGGAAACCGGTGCTGGTTTTCTCAGTCATGGATCTTTCTCCTGCACAGATGTACGAACCACGGTGGGTTTGTGCGTATCAGTTGGATGAATTCCTCCTCGGGAAATCTGGTGAATGAAAATCCATTTTTCTGCTTCCCAGTAAGATTTCTGGTCTCTTTTGTGTAACATTCTGGTCTCTTCTGTTAAACATTGTCATAATTATTACAGTGGATTTCCACCTTTTCATTGATTTTTCGACATCCAAAAAAACGATTTGCTAATTTATTTATTTTTGTACAGTAGAAGTAAAAAGGCAGTTTGGGAAGCTAAAATACTTTGGTTGTAATCCTAGACCCACAGTACCAAATTGCAACTTTTGTTACATTTTGAGTTGCTGCAATTCAAAAGAACCAAAATGTTTTTTAAAAAAAATCAGTTCCCCTCCTTGCCTGTGGGGGCGCTGCACCAAGAATTACTCAAGGAAACACAATGAAGAAGACACAGAGCCCAACTTTTTTGGTCACAAAATGGAAACAAGAATGGAGGCATGAGATTGTAGCGGTTGGAGGATTTTCTTTTGTTGTTGACAAAAGACCACAAGTCATTTCTACGGTTAGCGCTAGGCTAGCATGTTTGTTTTGGTTTTATTTATCCCTGATTGTACTCCTCTTCCTGCTTTTGGAGCGGTCTCCTCCGAACCGAGACCAAGGTTTGTCTCAGAGTTCGGTTAGCATTCACACTTCCCCAAGTGAACCGGACTTTCTAGGCGAACGGACTGGATTGAAGCGGACTACTCTACGTCAAGCATCTGTGTTTTTGTTTTTTTTTTTATGTGGTTTTTTGTAGTTATTTTATATTTTTACTCTCTTTGACTCTATCAGGAGGTGGGAATCTGTTAAGCAGCCAAGATCCAAAGAAAAACATTCAAACCTGGACAGTTTTTGATCAAGACTGTTGGAAGGAAAGAGTTTTACACAAAGTGCTTTGGTGAATTTAAGGTAGTGATGAAATGGATCTTCATAAACTTACTTGGAGTTTCCTCCAGAAGCATCTATGGATATATCAGAACTTTCCCCTGGTTTTGGTTGTTTGGTCTTGTTTTTGTCCTCCAACTGGATTTGGGTCCAGGTTGGACCGAGCCTTTGGCGAATGAATGGCGGTCGATGTCTTGTGTGTTTTTGTGTCCATTAGGAATCAGGGTCAGCCACTCAGTAGTCCATTAGAAACACTCATTCTCTCTTTTTAACCTCTTTTACTTCGTTTCCATCTATTTCGCTCGGCCTCAGGCGTCATCAATCACTGCCTGACTCTGCCCCACTGCATTATGGGTAGTTTCCAGTGTAAAAACCCAACAGAAACGTTCGGTTTTCCCCTCCAGACTGCTGGGTGTGACTTGCACACGCTGCAGTTCCTCAAAGTGGACGGCAGATGGCAGCAGAGGATAAACTCCTTGCATGCCTGTGGAGCGTGGAGAACCAGATTACACACACACACACTCACACACAGATGTGCCGTCCAATCACGTTGCAGAGCAGCAGAAGCCTGCTAGTGATATGGAAATGAGCTTCTCCACTTTAGCAGCCTCTTTCTCTCTCCAGTCAGCGCCTCTCGACCCGGTTGTTGGTCTCGGTCTCGGTCAGTTCTGCGAGCTGAATTAGCTTTTGGGCCACTGAAGCCCTCAGGAACATCTGACAGGTGAGGAGGGAGGAGTCCAGCTTTCCTCCTGGTCTTCAAAGATACTAATCCAACTTCACCCTCAAACATCTCTTGGATTCTTCTCCTCTCATCCAGATTGACGTTATCGGTCCGGCAGGTTTCACTTCTTTACAGTTTGGGCAATAAACCTCGAAACAGCTGCTGCCGGGTTTCTATTTCAGCCCCCAAATGTCCAAATAATGCAGACTCTGCAGGAGATTTGAGTGGCCAGATGGGCCGAGTATTTCAGAACCAGCTGATCTACTGGGATTTTCACACACGATCGTCTCCAAGGTCCAGAAACAGAAAATATCTGTTTGGATAACGGCTTGTTGGTCGGAGTAGACTGGTTTACAAAAGCAACAAATAACCACAAACAGTTTCATTCACTCTGTTACTGGAGTAACTCTTTTACTGTCCTACACTTTTTACTTTTATTTGAGAGATTTTATTATTAAATAAAAGTAAAATTTCTGGATTTTCTGCTCACTGAATGAAAAACAAACATGTTTGAACCAAACACAGACACACACCTGCAGTTTCTGTTAAAGTTTCATCAGCTTTTAATTGAAGGAAACTGATTTGGAAACATTTTATTTAGTCTGATTTTGTTATTTTTTGTTACTTATATAAATATTGTCCTTAAAATACTAAAATTTCCACGCAACTTTAGATTTTGGTCCATCTGATAAAGTAATTTTTGAATATTAAATTTTTAATTTGATCAGTTATTCAAATACGTTTCTACTCTTGAGTCATTCCTCGGATGGCTAATTTGATTTTTTAAAATTATTATTACCATTTTATTACATGGAAATGGCTTCAAAACAATAATAGTATCGTTTGTTGCAATAAGTTTTGGGACAATTTATCGTCCAGCAAAGTTTAATTTAATAAAGCATTTTTGAATTTAGAGTCTGAACACTTCGACTCTAAACTCTCGCCGCTGCTGCTGGAGGCGTCCGTGTTTCTGGATTCTCAGTCAGCAATTCTGCGTCTGCAGCAAGAGCTGTCAGAGCATGACAGAGGTCAAAGGTTAACACAAGATGCTCCATGTTTTCCAGTGTGTTTCTGAACTCCCTGCAGACCGGCTGTCAGTCGGCGAATCAGGAAACAAGCGACGGTTCCCGAGCGTCGCTTGTTTCACGGTTTTAATGCAACTTTTACACCTTTTCTCAACTTGCAAACACAAACCAGGGAGATTTTATGCAATAAACCAGCAAACTGAACCTTTAATTGTAAACATAAACTTCTGATAAATATCTACTATGAGATGTTTGTCATCTTTGAAGAACTGCCTTCTTATTTAGTATTTTGTAGGTTATAAAATAAATTTAATTAAAACATTTTCTGTTATTGGGTGCTGATATTTAGACTTCCAAACCCTAATTAATTAGACTTTTACCATATTGTTTATCATTTATTGTGATAAATTTGGAATTTCAGAGTTTGAAAAATCAAAAACTCAGAAATTTTCTCAAAAATTCCTGTTTTAAAAGCCTTTTTTTCATTTACTTTAAATTTGTAACTTTTTAAACTCAAAAATGTGAAGTTTTTTTCACAAAGATTTCTGAGATTAACCTCAAAATCTTTAGCAAATTCTCAACTTTTCTAGAAAATTTCAGACATTTTTTGGCGGAAATGTAATCCAACCTTTCTGTAAGTCTTTTTGTCTGGAATGGATCTGATATGCCGTTGTTTAATCTACTTGAAAATTGAACACAGTAGCTTCTGATTTCTGCATGTGGCTTTGATTTGATGAATTTGTCCCGCTGTGTTTCTTCAGTCTGTCGTAGTTTTTGCTGCTCCTGCATCTTTTCCTCTGGATTCTGATTAAAAACGTTTCCTTCCCGTCTCGTCCGTCTGAACGTTTCCCAGGAATCCCATCGGGGCCTGACCGTTTTGAAACATGAAGACTTTCATTTTAGTCCAACCTGGAAGCGTCAGACGGAGTTAATTTGTCTCCTGTGTTTTTCATTTTCTGCTCTCGGCTTGTTTGGCTTTTCTTCTGCCAACTGGGATCAACTTGGATCAGCGATGAGCTTCTGCTGGATCAACAGTTTGGTTTGTGGATTAACAAAGGAGTTGCAGTAATTGTAGAGTTTATATTTTAATATTTTATAGTAAATCTGGCCACATTTATCCCGTCACCTCCTTCAAAAAAGACTTTAGTGGATCCAAATATGCATTTAATTAACTTATTAATTAAGTCCAGCAGGTGTTTTCAGAGAGTCGTCTGAATCTGGTTTAGTGCTGATAAAATGCAAACTAAATGCCTTTTGATGACGCAAACATGCGAAAAATATTTGTGTTTGGATGTTTAGTTTGTTGTAACAAAATATGAAAATACATGTTTTAGCTTTTAAAAAAGTATTTACTACTTAATTAAAGTTACAGACTTGAAAACATTGTGTTTGCCCAGGTTCTGAAGCATATCTCGGTTTGAGCTTTGACTAGGCCATTCTGGAACGTTAGAAATATTAGATATTGTTGGGTGATTTTATTTAGAGTATCAGAATAAAGGGGTTGGAGTAAAAATTCAGGTTGCTGTTTTCAGTAGCGATACGTTTAAAAAATACAAAACATTTATTTCATTCCAGATTTGATTTTTTATTTTAGTCGATTTATTGTCAAAAACAGAATTTATAAAATATTTTCAAAAAGTGGCTTTTTGTGTTGATTTCTCATAATATTAAAAATAATTTTCTGAGTTTATTCTGTTAATTAAAAAATAAATTGTATCCTGTTCTTAATAATCCATCATAAATTTAATCTTAATTCAAATATAAAAAGAAGTAAAACAAGATGGCCGCTGTAGGCGTGAAAAACATCCTTATTCTCCAAAAGTCAAACATTTAGTTCATTGATCAAATTGATTTATCATCCTGCTTTTCACATTTCTCAGTGAAATGTTTAGTTTTATCTCCATAAAAAGCATGAAGTTTGTGATTTCTGTGACCTATTGTGGTAAAATGTTGGTCTATGATGCAGAATTGGGAACTTCTGAGCGTTTTCCGGGGGATGCTGGTGCTGCTCTCTGGTTTTCTGGTCCGGTCGGAGTGAGAAACGCTGACCAGGTGTGCTTCCCAGAAAGGTGGAAGACAGAAAACCGATGGAGAAAAAAACCAAAACGCCGCCTCTTCCTCTCAGCGCGCAATTACAGACCATGCCGAGGAATCCAGAGCGCTCCCCTCCCCCCCGGAGTGTGAAGAGGAGGAGGAAGGTGGCAATCATGGAAGAGAAGGAGGAAAGGATGACAAAGAAAGGGAGGAAGGAGCTAATGAAGGAGAGGAAGCACACAATGGAGAGCTGAGATGAAGGAGTGTTTTGTGTGTGTGAAGCGAGGTTTTTGATTGGCCCAGGCCGCCGAAAGAAGACTGGAACAGAGGAGGAGAGGAAGGCTGCAGAGAATACAAAGAGCAAGTGTGTCAGAGAGAGTGTGTGTGAGGCGTCCAGAGGTGTGTGTGTGAGTGTGTGTGTGAGTGCAGCAGCAAGCAAAAAGCCAAGAGGAGGAGGAGGAAACCTGATCCCACTCCCTCTCCCCGTCTGCCTGTGTGGAGCTCTCTCATCGTCCTCAGCATCGCTGCTAGCTTAGCCCGGCCCGGTTTGGACCCGGTTCGGACCCCCGGCGCGCCGGGATGGAGCGGTTCCTGGCCCTGCTGCGCCTCCTGAGCCGGAGGCGGCGAGGGAGGCGGTACCGGGCGGACGACGACTACCAGGAAGGCTACGAAGACGTTTACTACTACACCAGCAAGTACAACACACACCTTCTGAGTGAGTTCTGCAGGCAGGGCAGCTTATCAACAGATTATCACTGCTGAAGGAGCCCCAAGCTGGGGCTGGAGTCCTCCTCAGAGGACGCCGGGGGGTTGAAGCGGCCCGGCCGGGAGCAGGTGGCGCCTGGTTTCCTTCGATTTGACTTTAAAATGAGGTGAAAATACGAGCGCGTGGCGGCTTCTCCATTATAGATGAAGGTCTTTTCTCAGTTACGGCACACACGCCCGCTCAGGTGTCCAGGTGGAGTGTTGGTAATAACAAGCCAGGAAGTGTTTACAGGAGGAAGGAATGTGGGAAATGCACATAATTCCAGGTTTCTGTTGCAGTGAAATCCTGCAGAACTTCAACAAGTGTTGCAGGAATCCTCTCCTTAGCTTTTATTTACTTCTCCTGGTGGACCTGATGTATCGTGATTAATCAAATTTAGCAATCGATTAATCGTTAGCTGGCGTATGCACTCTAAAAAAGAAGATTTGTTGAAAGAACACAGCTTGTTTTTCTTCTTGTCTAAGAAAAATTAGTAAAAAAAAAAGGAGGAAACCTGCAGCTGCTGTACTTTATCTTAACAATCAATCAGATTGATCAGATTAATCGTGATTTCATTACTGAAATAACTAATTCAGTAATTGATTAATCATAAACTGGTATTCGTTAGAAATTAAAGTTTATTGATCTTTGATTGAGACTGAATCAAACTGGATGTTGGTTGATGCGTTTATCAGAAAATAGTGAGAATTTAGAGCAAAAACCTTTTTAAAAGACATTTTTAAGCAATGGCTTAAAAATCAAATCTTTTGAATACTTTTTTTGTTTTATGTTCTAAAAAAATAAATTACAAATAAGAGAATACTTTTAAAAAGTGTATTATTTTTGCAACTCCTCCCTTCTGTGAGTTGCACGACGCAAGATTTTGGTGTAATTATAACAACAGTCAAAATATCGACAGAAAAAAGATGCAATTTTACCAGAAGAAAATCTTTTTTTTTTGTAAGAAAAAGCTTCTGATGCAACCAGTTTGTCCAGTTCTTTCTTCAAAATATTCAGTAATTTCTACGAAAGTTTCAAAGTTCTGCTGCTGATAATAATTTGACACTTATGTTAAAATATTGGGTGTGAAACCAACGAATAGCTTCACAAGATGCTCAGTATTTCTACTTTTATGTTTTTGTTATTTTCGGAGTTCTCATGAAGTTGCCATTTAATTCTTGTATTATTTTGGCTCTGATGTCGTACGACGGTTATTGTAGCCTGACCTTCATATTCAGGTCAAAGTGTAAAGCATCCATGTCGAGCAAGATGGCCGCCCTGAGCAAGGTGTACATTGGTGAAAGAAAAATCCCAATTTTTCAAAAATTAAATCTTCAAAAACCAAAAATTTGATTAATAGATAAAATCAGTTTAATGCTCAACCCTAGAAGAGTTTAATAAAAAATATATTTTCCATCTTCAGACTTTCTAAATTTGACCGTTTTCAGATGTTTGCCTCATTAACAACCCAAACGCTTTTATTTCTAACACGGCCGTCTCTGACAAAGCTGAGCTGTCTTTGTTCTTCCATCTGTCCCTGAATAAATTTACAAATCAGGACTCTGTGGATCTGATGCGTCAGATCAGACTGGATCTGTTGCGAAAAAGGCCCAGTCTTTGGAAAAAGACCTGATCCTGCAGGGTTTTTTTTTTAACTTTTTTAGACTGATTTACCCTCTGAGGCCAGAAGCGTTGGACCTAAATGTACCAAACAAATCAATCTATTGAAGTGACAAAACAATTTCAGGCACCTGGGACATCAAGAGAACGCCGTTTGCTTAAAGAACAACAGACAAAAAGCAGCAATTAAACCAAAACTGTACAAAAAATATATAAATATTGCATTTAAAATACAAATAACCTTCTTTGTATTTTAAAAGAAGGTTTATGTATAACCTTCCTCCCATAAGTCGCAGTTTAACTTCAAAGTTGAAGTCTGGCTCTCTCTCGCTCTTTCGCAGGCTGGATGGAACAGGCATATTGGATGTTTATTTCTGCATACTTGTGACATGTATGATACGTGTCATCGTAGAATCGATGTTTGCAGCTCACAGGATGGACGCTGATGTTTACTCACCGGTTGGATGGATTGTTAGTGGAGAAGATTCCAGAATGCTGCAGGTGAACAAAATGCATTTATTGCGCCTGTTGTCATGCAGCCTTGATGAAAATTACAAAGAGATTGTGATGTGGTTCAGCTTCCACAGTTTGGTTCATTTTGATGATTTTAGGTGGTTTATGGTCTGGAAATGTTGAAACATTAAAATCTGAAGTTTCATTCCAATTTCTGGGCTTTAAAGGACGGGAATTATTTTTTTAAAGCACCAACATATTTGCTTCTAGATGATGAGAGAGGATATTTAGTGTTTGATTTCCTGCAGCTGGTTTTCATGGGTGAACTCTGGATCCCGTCGCCGTCTGCAAACCTTCAGAGAAACCACCGACTGGACTTTTCCAAACCGATTAGCAATTCTGTTTGGCCGCTTCTCACTGGTTTTCCCCAAAGAAGACTCGACAAACAACTGCGAGTGCGAATTTAATCGCCTAAAACACGACATCTGAGCATGTTTACGCGCTGAGATTTACTGCTGAACTCCGACCCTGCTTTGAGAATGTACAGTTTGTGTGTGTTTGTGCTGCAGAGCTGCCAAAAGGCATTTCTCGAAGCCATCGTGTGTGTTGTGGTCGTTGCAGCGTGTGATTGTATTTGAAAGCGATTTATGGCTGGTTGACTGACTAACCCGGAGACAAACACAGAAACTCTCCTCAGACCTGCTTTATTGGGGCTTCACTCCCTGATTTAATGTGCAGCGGCTCCGTTAACCTGCTTCACCAACATTAACGTGACGATCAGTGATACCCAGGTTTTTACCTCTTTTCCCCCTCAGGAGTCGCATTTCTATTCAAAGGGAGATGTGTTTATGTCCAGGCTCATTTTTACAAATCTAAGCATTTTAATCATCGATGAAGTTTAATTGATCTACTTAATTATTACTGTATGAATACGTGAATCGGTTTCTCATTAATATTAGAAAACAAAATGTAGCAGGCTGAGTGATCAGTGTTTCAGGTAGAAGTTGGGACCAATTTAAATTCCTAAAAATTACTTTTTGGGAATAAATGTAAATTTTATAACATTATGATCTATTATTTATCACAGGACATAAAAAACTATTTTCTGAAATGAGCAAAAACAACGCAGTAGGATTTGTTTTGAGCTCCCACCACAGTTAACGGTCCAGACTTTGACTAGGCCTTCGCAGCACCTTGATTCTTCTCTATTTACTCCCTGAATTGATCTTGGACAGATTGACTCGTGCTTGACAATCAACCAACAGCAAAAAAAAAATATTTATTTTGCAAGCTAGAAGCTAAATATGCAGCTCCGACCTAAATATTTAGTTAAAAAGCTAATATTTAGCTTTCTATTTAGTTATGTAGCTGAACTTTAGTTTGAATCTAACGATTGAGCTCCAAGCTAAATATTTAGCATCAATCTGATTAAAAACTGTCTGGCTTTGGGAAATCAAGCCCCATTTCCACTTTATTTCAGGCTAAATAACCCAAATTATTGCTGTTAATTTTTGGCTGTGTAACTTTACAGACGGCGCCCCCTATATTAATAAATATCGTCTTGAACGTTTTCACATTTCGTAATGTTACACCAACAAACTGCCGTGTGTTTTGTTGGGACTTTATGTGGTAGAGCAACACAAAAGTTTCTCATAAATATGAAATAAACTAAATATAAATGTTTCCCATCATCAGGTCTGTTGATGATGAGCAGTCAGTGTCACCCGTCTCACCTTCCCTCTCCGGCCGCTCCCTGATCTGTGCAGAAATATTATGATGCATACATTAACACACAGAGAACGTGACGGTTGGATGATCCAGAGCTCAGAACGGTGCAGCTCACAGCCGTCATGTGTGATGCGAAGGCTGCTGACATAGAAAACGTGCTAATTAATGCCTTAAATCGGCGCTCGGTTCACATTTCTGCGTCCAACGTGACGCAGATGAAAGATCAGGAAGCTCTGCTGCGTCTGATTGTTCCTGTTTGCAGGAAACAAATCTGTTAAAGCAGGAACATCTTTGTTTTTATCCCTTCCTGGCTGCCATTAGCAGACCCATCATGAAGTGTTCGCCTACATGTTTTTTTTTACCATGTGTGAGACTCTCCTCGACTCCGCCGGCTCCAAGGCCCACGTCCTCCACTCGCCCGTCAGCTGCCGTTGGCGCCGAGCCGCTCCGTCCGGAGGCGGCTTCTTCTCCCGATTATCTTCACAGCCCATGAACACACCAACGGGCGGCGGAAAGTAGAGCAGAAATCCACGCAATTAATTAATCTGCAGGCCTCTCAGGATTCACCGCGCTTTCCCCTCATTATTTGGATTTGATGTTTAATTAGTTCTTTTAAATTAAAGAACAACTTCCTCATTTTTCTCCCTCTGATTCCCTTCAGACAGTTGCCAGTTCATTAGGTACATCTGGCTCTGAGTGATGCAACAAACTCGGCGTTCAAATATTTCTAATGCTCAGGACGTCCTGCTGCTTTCTGTTCTTGCTGCCGTTTCATTCTCTTAATCTGCAGCTTCATATTTTACTCACATGGCTGAAAAAATTGGTCAATGTGGCGATTTGAATAATTTCTTCTTAGTTTGAGTAAAACTTACTCTTTGAAACAACTTTCCCTGTAATCTTTGTTGAAACTCTGGGGCTGCTGAAATTCCACACCACATCTTTAATCCGCTTTAATCCAACTCCGGTTCGGTTGTTGAAATGCTAATCGGCCCAAAAAAATGCGAACTCTGGTCCGCCTTCACATGTCGGTCACTGTTCGCTTACAGTGAACTCTGGTGCAATTTCAAAGTCAACGCCAAGACCGCTCCAAAAGCTGGAAGTGGAGAACAGTGCAAGGCATTCTGGGTAAATACAACCAAACCAAACTAGCTAGCGTTAGCAAAAGAAAT